GTGTGGGTGTGAGCATGCTGAATGTCTTCCTGAAGTCGCGTCATGGAGAGCACGAGAGACCCGAGTTCGTCGCTTACCCCCATCTCCGCATCAGGTCCAAGGTAGGCCTTTGTAGGCTCTTCGAGCATCCGTTCTCCTTTTATTACAGATGCCTAGTCTGAGTTCTTCATTCTCTAAAATCGTGTAGAATTTGTCATTTAATTCTTACAGATTTTTATTTTCTCCGGTTTTATGGAAATGTAACAGACTTGGGGGGGTCACATTTGTTTTCTTTTTCAAGGTCATACAATAAGTGCCCTTCAGTTTTCCTTTTTTTCCTGATCCATCCCACCTCTGCCTTCTGATACTGTTCTGAAACAGTTGTCCGTTGTATGAGACTTGGAGGTTTGGGAATCTCCCTTAGAGTGGCAAAATCGGAAGGTGGTTCGCACTTCTAGGACCTGGGCATCTGGCAGGTACTAGCTGCATGATGAAGAGACTAACAGCTTCTCTTATTCCTACCTCTGCTGGTTATTTTCTCAACTGTTTTATCCTTTGCTATTGATGTAGATGTAATCATTTGTTTTACATTGCAAGTATTCTTAACAAGAGGCCCTGCTGGCTCTTTAATAACTATTATATCACTTAGCCAAGATAGGACTGGCCTTATAGAAACTTAAGCTAGAGTCTTAGATTCAGAAATAATTTTTGAGTCTGAGCCCCATTCCTGCCCTTGTACAAAGATGTAAAAGCCATATACCATGGTTTTCAACCTCAATACTATTGACATTTGGGGTTGGATAGTTCTTGTTGGGGCAAGGGGCTGTCCTATGAGTCCTAGGATATTTAACAGCATCCTTGACCTCTACCCACTAGATGTCCTCTCCCAGATGTCTCCAGATATTGCCCAATGTCTTGGGCAAAATCATCCAGGTTTGGAAACCACTGCCCTAGAGCAATGTTTTTCAAAGGCAGCATGCAAAAAATTGAGGAGGGTAGGTTGGTTTCCAATCCAGAGGTTTGTTTTAGATCTGGAATGAAGCCCAAAGTCTGCATTTAAATAAGCATCTTCTCTCATTTACCCACCTCTACCATTCTGATACAGATGATGTGAGGATTACACTTTCATAAACACTGCCCTCATAGACTAGTTGCCAGGGAGAGGCTTATGAATAATGAACTTGAGCTTGCTTTTCCTACTGCCTACTTTAAAGGCTCTCCTGCAAGTTAAAAGAGCTCCTTTAAATTATGGGAAGGCTGAAATACGCCAGTAGTTAAAGGACTAATTACCATTTTGTTTTTATGTATGGTCTGTCACCCTTTGTCTGAAGCAGTTCATGGCAGTGCTGTTTCTGAATTCTCTTCTGGAATTGCCTAACTGACATCTTCACTCCACAGCCCTTTCCCTGGGGAGATGGTAATCATACTCTATTCCATAACTCTCACATGAATCCACTTCCAACCGGCTATGAAGATGAATAGAGAGAACCT